GCCGCCCATTAAAAGTACTTGCATTTCATCGAAATTAATAAGAAAGAGAATTAACTCCTTTCCGCTTGACAACTATCGTACTTTCATGAGATATGTGCTCGGACTCTAGTTCCTGGCACAAAATCGAAAGAAAAGTCGTGAACCGTGATTTCATTGACTTTTTATTTTATAACTTGATACAGAATAATAATAGGAACGCCTTGACAGCAGTAGCCTCGCGTGACCATGGTCAGATCTTATTTCTGGATTAACTTCCCACACTCTTCCTACGAAAATTTCTCGCCTTTGGTCTCACAGATGACGCCTCATCCTTCCATTTCAATCCATATTCACGAAAATATTGGTCAGGAAAGGCTTATCGTGCCGGTCACGGTAGCTGAGCGGTCTAAGGCATGCACTGTCTTCGCTCGCTGGGAAGCCGGGATCGTGGGTTCGAATCCCACTCAGTGCATGGATGTTTGTGTGCGTTTTTCTGTGTTTGTTTACAGGTAGAGGCCTTGCGACGAGCTGATCACTCGCCCAAGGAGTCCTACCGTATGTATAAGATGTAGAAAAACCGAAGTGAACGGAGAAGTTCATGAAGGTAGGCCTAGGCCCACTGGGGCTGTAGTGCCAAGGGGGGGGGGAGGCTTATCGTCTCTTGCTTGTTCTGGAAATTTCTTGCCCCTCAAAAAAAGCTTTGCTTATGATTATATCTCAATCGATACATCGAATATTGGCGTTACGATGGTACAGTAATATTATAGACTCGTTGAACTGAAAGAAGAATTTCTTCCTGCTACTTCCTCCCCCACCCCCTCTCCAGATTACTTCGACGACGCTGCTGCAGGAACTGTAGAAAGTTCGCTTGCAGTTTCTGGAAGCAGGACGATTTTCATCATCTCTTTACGTATAGACATTAATAGAGTTCGGGCTTGTTACTTATCTGCTTTACAGCTAGTGAATCCCTAACGGAGAAAGGTTTGGCCGTTGAAACAACAGTATTGTTGTGTCGACGGACAAACCTTTCCCAGTTAATTACCATACACAAGAGGATGCACACAACGAAGATAGTGAATCCTCTCCGAAGTTCGTACTGATGATGTCACATACTTTTTTTTCCGTTATGTTGCATCAGATGCCGAAAATAGTTATATCCTTGCAACCTAGAGAAATATGCTTTCATGTAAAATGTCGCTTCAGCTTGCTCGTATCTGTGGCATTGTTTCTAAGTTTTTCTTCCCAAACAAGATACTCAGGAATCGGACATGGCGCACCACGACACCAGAAAACCTGAGAAACAATATTTATCACTATCCTACATGAAATAAGAAAACGGAAGGCTAATTGGATTGGTCATGTTTTACGCAGAAACTGCCTTCTAAAAGAAGCTATCGAAGGAAAGATAGATGGGCGGATAGAAGTGACAAGAAGACGAGGAAGAAGACGTAAGAAGATGCTGGATGACCTTGGGGACAGAAGAGGATACTGTCATTTGAAGGAGAAAGCTCTAGATCGCATTAAGTGGAGGAATTGTTTTGAAAGAGACTGTGGACCTGTCGTCTTGACAGATTACTGATGATGATGATGATGATAGCTGCTTAGTAAAATGCACATAACCTTTCAGTAAGTATGTCCATGATGTGCCGGTCACGGTAGCCGAGCGGTCTAAGGCAGGTACTGTCTTCGCTCGCTCGGAAGCCGGGATCGTGGGTTAGAATCCCACACAAGGCATGGATGTTCGGTATATGTGTGTGTTTGTGTTGTCCTGTGTTTAGGTAGAAGCCTTGCCATCACTCGTCCAAAAAGTCCTATCATCTGTAAAATGAACATTTTTTTTATTATTTATTTAAATTTTAGCAATCAGAATATTACATAATTCTATAAGCTAAAGTGCTGATTACTCATTAGATATACTAATGACCAGTGGCATGAACAGGTTGATATCCAGCGAAATCACCTGTATAATCTATGATTAGTATCTATACAAGAGTAGTTCACTTGGCCACAGTTTTTTTAGTCTTTTGTTTCTTACTGGTTCCAGGAGTTGTTCCATGAGCTGATTGGGGTGGTTTTCTATGGAGTTGTGATGTGTGGTGGCTTTCTTGCGTATTGCTTCCTGCACGGTTGGTACCTGTAGATCTGTATGTAGTGTGTGATTTGTTACGTAACAAGAAATGAACATGAAACTGTAAACTCGGAGGCCAAGGCCCAGGGGGCTGTGGAGCCAGTAAGAAAAAAGAAAGTCCATGTTGGACATTGATGTATATAATGAGGTAATGAGAGGATGTAAATTCAGAAACATTTTACTAGCACTGTTCACAGTTTTCAGTCCCCGAAGGAACACGACTGCAAGGAAGCTGAAAATTTATAGGGGAATGCGAAAGGACGACTGACTTGAGCAGTACTTCAAGTATAAAGGACCGATCATACATTCGCAACCAAAGTTTACTAAGAATTTTATATATATTTATGACAATGAACGTCGGGAGATGTGCAGGAGAATAGCTTGATACAACTGAACATAAATGTATAAGGGAATACGGAAATAAATTCGCTAATTATAAAACGGTTTATAAAGAGGATATATTTTTCCATCCTTCATGTTTTGTTTGCAAGGACACAGATCTACCCCGCAATAAACTAAGGGCACACACTTTTGAAATGCCTTGCCAAATAACGTGATAAATGAAAGGAAGCAGGAGTTATCTCTTCTCATTCCCTCTTTACCTCTTCGTCTTCTTCTGTCTTCAACTTGCGGTAGGCACGTACATAGATAGATAGATAGATAGATACTTTTTTCGTATTTTTTCGATAAAACTTAGGATTTTAAGTTCTCACAACGGTGGTTATGAAGAGCTCTATCTTCTGAGATATAACGCCATGTTGTCGGTTGAAAGTAAACCAGCGTTTCGGAGGAACTTATCGCCTTCATCTTCACGGTTGAAGATTAGACCAAGGAAGAAACCAGCATGAAACAGGCAACAAGCAGAGCTCTGCTGGTTTCTTGTTTGGTTTACTATCCAACCCTGAGGATGGAAGCGACATTCGAAACGTACCTTGAGTTTCAACGGACTGCACATTATTATGCACGTACCCTAGAATGTAGCTCTTTTCGGAACGTGATACTGGAACACTTGCCAGTTTTGTTACAAAGAACCGTACACCTTCACGCTAGGCCTTTTATTGATAGAAAGAAGTGCTGGCCCTCCAAGAAAGGTCTTCAAAATATGTAACGCGTTAACGTTCAGTGATGTACGTGTAAGGTCCCTGTGCTTAACTAATTAAGCACTACACCATGAAGACGTATGGGGGAGTGGATGTATAGGTTCATATTTTCTTGACCTTGACACTAGTTGGAGGTGAATGGTCAGCTTCACACCCCTACCGCTTTATCCCTGGGGGAAGAGTCCTTTACCCATTGGCTATGAGGCTGGGTGGGCTTCAGAGCCGATCTGGACTACATGGAGAAGAGAAAATTCTTGACCCTACCTGGGTCCGAACTCCGACTGCTCGGTCGTCCAGCCCGTAGCCAGTCGCTATCCCTGCTCATACTGTATGTTTACGAGTAATTATAGTAGGGCGGAGATACACAGTGCAGAAGTGTAAAAGGTACCGATCAGGTACATCTTACCTGTAGGTCTATCTGACCTACAGACTTTGTAGAATCCGAGCGTTCATTGCTGTCTGTCAGAACAGCCTGTCGCTTTACCCCGTCCCGAGACATTTGAATGTAATGTATCTCTTTCGGATCAGGTTTAATACCATCCTCTTGTTTACGTCTTAATCTCCCAAGTGATAACCTTTTGCGACCTTTTCAAACCAAAATGTCGCATGGATTTATTTACCCATGCGTGGTAGTCTGAATGTAATAAAGGCCCACGTTGAATCAAGCCAAGAGAGAGACAGCGCCCATAAAAACAGAACGCAAACAGTACATCACGACTTATATGCAAGTACGAATTAACACACTGAAACAGCCTCAGGTCCATAATACGTTCAACACAACACAACTCTAGGCGAATAACGGCAACATCATGAGAGACTAGAAGCAACGTGGATTCAAATGACCCACCCCACATCGGAACCTTCAGCTTCATATGAGGAATTAACATCATACCTCCATAATCTTTTAATACCGTCTTATTATATATTTTAAATATTTTTAATACCTTTAACATTTTTACTTATTTCACTCGTGTAATATCTAACGCTTTACTCGTATTATGAAATCCTATATTCGTAATATACATCACCCTTTGAGTACATCCACTAATATTTAAATACAAATTCTTGTATACCCTAATATTTCTAATATTTTTCTATGTCGTAATGTTCATCATAACACAAGGCACAGTTTTCTACAACTTTTATAATAGGGACACGTTGCACCACAATATGCATCCATAGTGAGATTTCAATTCACTTTATCGTATTTATTATTATATACACTGCCTGATGATGGTCCCATGAGGACCGAAACATGAAACTGTAAACAAAATTAAATCTATGAAATATTGATTTTAATTGTGATAACATTTTCCTTGTTGTGTTGACGGATACGTAACCAAACCTTATAACATCAAGAAGGTTGAAATGTTGCATATAGAACTTGTAGTAGAAACAAGAAATACATGCAGGAAATTGGTTGCAAATCCTTATGGGAAGATGCGTGTTGGGGTGACCTAGGCGATAGGTAGGAAAATAGTGACAGGTTGTGAGGTTAAAAGCTGGAATGAATTGGGTCAGAATAAGGCACAGTGTCGGGCTTATTTTATTTTATTTATTTATTTTGTAAATTTGATGAACATTGGTGCTTTACGTGCCGTAGAACGAACTGTGCCGTTGTCTTCATGTGGATTCAGTGTGCGCCCTTTTTCATTGTGAACAGGCAGCAGTTTCCGTCGTGGAAAACGTCACATGCTACGTCATGCAATTGGTCTAAAAAACAATTCGTAAACCTGCATTGTGAGCTACCCCTCCCACCCTTCGTGGCTTGTACGGTGGTGGGAGGAACAGTGTTGTGGTGACCACGCGGCTCTTCTTTCAGTTTGCGCCAATGTAGCGTGCGGGATAGAAGTCAAGTGACACTGCAGCTCTCTTGTGGCCGCGCCCAGCAAACAGGTACGAGTGAGCGCCTAGTTCATATCACAACACAGTAGGCCTATATGTTGATTCGTCATCAATTGTGATCGAAATATAATTTTCAGGTGCACATTGATGTGTTACCAGGACATTGCTGGCAATGGAATTTTGTCTTTTCTTATATTTTGTCATCTCGCCCTCCCTTTCAGTGTCGTACAGTAGTTTATTGCTTAACAACATATTTCTGCCAAAGGTCAGTTGAGATTGCTTGCTTTCAGGTTGTAAGAAAGAAACTGCATTACTATGTTCAGTATATTGCAGTAACTTCCACAGTGGATCCTGCATAATACTTGTCTTCTGGGTTACAAGAAACTAATGTCTGGTAGGTAGGTAGGTAGGTAGGTAGGTAGGTACATACCTACCACATTACACTGTGCCATAACCAAGAAGTACGCAACATGAACCGTCATCGCCATGAAAGCCTGAAATCTCGTGAACAGTTTACAGTAATTCAGTATTTACATAAAACTAATTCATATTAATATATAAACCTGTAAAGATGATCATAGGTTGAAACATGTTAATCATTTTATTTATGGCCTATTTAACGGTAGTGTCAATAGCTCAGACTATAACAAGACCGAATGATAATAAATGATAATATGCGCGTAATGAACTGGAAAGTGTGTGGAAGGAAGCGCTAGTTATTTAATTTGAGACGTTGTTCTAGTATTTCCATGCACTATCTGACGGAAATAATGAAAAGTAGTGTGTTTCCGGACCAAAATTTGAACTAGGACTCTGATACAGGAAACAGGAGTGGTACCCATTCAACCGTAACTTTCGGATTGAAATACGAATACGTCGCGACTGAAAGACATGATCAGATTGTATCTTTTGCTGTTTCTGTCTGTGGCAGCTAGTGATCTGTTCGGTGATATTTGGTGTTACATATGTTGGGCATTGTATCTGGGGAATTGGATGGGAAGTGAAAACAGGTTACGGAAGCGCCAGTGTTTATTTAAACAATGTAGATTGTTGTGATTANTCTCTTCGTACTTCCATTTTTTCTCCAATATCTGACGAAAGCAAAAGATCTGATCTATAGTTGATCTAATATGTACCTCCTTTTTCCCTTGGCACTACAGCTCCAGTGGGCCTTGGCCTACCTCCATGAAACTCTCCTTTTCACTTCGGTTTACTAGATCTTACACATACGGTAGGACTCTTTGGGCGAGTGATCAGCTCGTCGCAAGGCCTCTACCTGTACACAAACATCCATGCCCTGAGTGGGATTCGAACCCACGATCCCGGCTTCCGAACGAGCGAAGACAGTGCACGACTTAGACTGCTCCTCTACCGTGACCGGCCGAACTGATGTATACAGGTCTATTATTGCTTTCCAGGAAGCCCTGAGTACATTTTGGATTTTGCATAATGCGCATTGTTTACACACAAAACGGTTCATAACAGAAATTTTAGATTTTAATAGACCATAACACTAACATTTATATGAACATGTACATGCGACGCGCCGTGTATGTCACGCTTACACCTATTTTTGGTGCGCTGTATATTCTGCTGTCTATTCTGAACAGATCTTTCGGGAGTACTGAGATTCTCACGGCCGTCACGATGATAACACTCTTACGAGATGTAATGCCGTGTTGTGTGATATAGTGCTTTAGCGTTTCGGAGGAATATGCTACATCGTTCTTCAGGTTAAGATGGTGCTAAATGGCTCTTATACCCTGAGGACGGAGGCAGCACGTTTCTCCGAAGTCTCGGTAATGATCTAATGTACTGTACGTTGCTGTATCTAAGAAAGCACTTATTTTCAAAAATTTGCCAAGTCACAGTAGAATACGGAAGAAGTAATAACATGCACATAGGTGTATGAAATGTGTAGACCTGAAGCTAAAAGCACATACATTGAGTGCAAAAGTGCCTTACCGTTGTAAAATAACTGTACAAAATAGAGGCCTTATCATAAGATAATACTTTTTAATACAATACATTTTAAGCATTAAATATCATTAGTAGAATAAAGGTAGTGTTCATTTAAGTGTCCTTCCGATGCAATTTTAAATTGCAGCTTTTAATTCATGCTCCTAATACCATAAGGTGGCAAGCACTGTCTTCGCTCGCTCGGAAGCCGGGATCGTGGTTTCGAATCCCACTCAGGATGGATGTTTGTGTGCGTTTTTCTGTGTTTGTGTACAGGCAGAGGCCTTGCGACGAGCTGATCACCCGCCCAAGGAGTCCTACGGAATGTGTAAGATCAAGAAAAACCGAAGTGAACGGAGAAGTTCATGGAGGTAGGCCTAGGCCCATTGGGGCTGTAGTTCCAAGGAAAAAAAAATACCATAAGGTGCATTATTAAAAAAATGTTTATGCCGTTATAAGATTCGTTTTAATGGAAGCAAATAAGGTTGTCAGTTGACCAATGGAAGCTATTTTCTCTATATTGTCAGAATCATTAAATAACCAACTTTGAAAGCAATTCCTTGTTGCTTTCATTTTTAACTGGCAAATAAAACATAACAGAAAGCATAGACTTGTATGCGACTTCGAAATATTTAAGGAAAGCTTCAACAAGTCGTAGTATTTGATTTTAGGTATTATTTTCACTCATCTTTAATAAAAGCATCTAATCTGTTCGTTTCTTCATGCCATTTAAATTCTTCTTGACGCTCTGAAATCATTTAATTTGAATATCCTATATATATTACATTATAATTCGTTAAGCTCTACGCTCCTTGTAAGAAATTAGTGTAACGCCTGTTGAAAATCGATCGGAAAGTCTCATCATTTCTATACAACCTTTTGTAGTATTAACTTACCCTTCTTTCTCACTTATTTCTTTCCAGTCCTCTTTATTGTCGAATGATGCATCATAACTCCATCTCGCATAAACAGCACACACAGACAAGTTATAAACCGTTTCCTTTATATTGTCACATGTCACAGTGACTAAGATGCGGGTTTGGATTGGTACTTGGATTTATTAATAACCTACAGGTTGTAACTACAATTAATTATTTCACTGTCGCTGCTTTACACAATGTACAATCGCTTCACATTAATCTCTTCAGTCTGTCTTCATTAGTCTTCACGAGTTTGTAACACGGGAACTATAACAGTCTCACTGAATCACACACTTCAAATGTTACACATGTTAAGTCTTCGCACGTCCACTTCTAGTTCTTTTTCCCGTGGTATCTCCTTGCTTGTTCGTTCTCGTGCTTCTGCCGCTATTATTCGTAACTTGTAACTGTTTTACTTACATAGCCGAGCAACGGACATGGACCTATAGTAAGCACATATCACGTGATCTCTATCAAGCCAGCCTATTCGATTGTCGGCCGGATCTACAGGAAACACATGTCACGTGATCATTTGTAATGTTACCGCTAACACGGAAAACACAGCTTCTTCTATTGTTGCGTGACCTAGCAACGGACTGTTTACCAAGAGCCTGTCTTCGCGGGAACTCGTTTACCAACACGTTGTCTAGCAATGGGTGTACATGTAACAATATACAAACTACAAAAAAAAAGAATCCGTGATTTTAGTCCGCAAGCGAACTATACCGACCGAACGACCGCCCCTTGTCGGCGAAGTTTAGTGCCAACTTTTGGAGATAAAGGGTGTCACTTGGTCAGCGCAAGGAATCCACACGGCCGTTAATTTCGGTTTTTTAGACGCGAGCCGCTATTTCTTTGAAAGAGCTCCTCAGTTATCATCACGAGGCTGAGTGGACCCAGTTCCAGACACACTGCTTCTCAGAAAATCTGGTAGCGCCGGGAATCGAACCCGAGACCTCTGGATCTGTAGCCAGGAACGCTGACCACTAGACAATAGAGGCGGCAATATTGTATACTACACCACATATATTCATATGATAATATTATCAGTACTAACAGAACAGATACGATACTCTGAAACAAAAGACTACTCGCTCCTTCGTGAAATACTATGTAACTTCCGTTTATACAGTGGTAACTCGAAATTACGTAATTTCAGAGCGTTTAGCTCATCTTCACATCGCTTTGTATAAGGATTATTACATCATAAGAGGTTAAACAGTTCGTCCAGTGTGACTAGTAAAGATTTCTCTTATTTCAATCCTTCATCCCTTACATGTTCGGTCTTTACAGACCATCCTCAGAGGGACATATTGTAATAGTGGCTTCCGATTGTATTGATGTCCCTCTGAGGATGGTCTGTAAAGGCCGAAACATGTAAGGGATGAAGGATTGAAATAAGAAAAATCTTTACTAGTCACACTGATCGGAACTGTTTAACCTCTTATGATAATATTACCGTGACGGACCAGAATGAAACAAATCAAACAGAATTATTACATTCTTGAAGTTTTTGTATTTCAGTTGAATTGGAATCAGATTATTGCTGAAGTTTCTTCTTCTTATTCTTCTTCTTTTGCATGTAGAATGTGCATTGGTCAGTTAGGACTTCCTTCCATGTTCTACATCTCTAAAAATGGGTCGCATATTTTAAGACTGAGCAAATGAATTTTTTATGGCCAAGTAAGTATACATGTCTCATTCTGCGAATCAGATTTTATTCGAGCTAAAAATAACTTTATGGGGATATTGTAAACATTGACGTCCACTCTTCATTTTACTCATTTTCGTCGAAGATTTATATTTTAGATGGAAAAAAAGCTTCGCTGATAGACTATATCCATCTGGAAGAATCATAACAATGTCATACAGGTTTTCGGGAGAGAAAATAATAAAAACAAATGTTACAGAGAAGATTAAATTCTCTGTCAATAATATTGAGGCGCGTTAAAACTATACGAGTTTATCTTGTCACCCACTTGCACTCTCTCGCTTTTTACCGCCGAATCCCTGTAGCATAAATGATATAATGATACAAATTCCGTCCCAAGTGCAAACAATATATTATGTGTCCTTGATCTTGTTCCTCTACACTACATGTTTCGGCCTCAGACGGCCATCATCAGGTGTATAACACTCACGTTGCTGTCACACTGCACTCAGCCCAAAATT